GTCATATGTTTTATTTGCAGAAATAACTTGAAACATAGACAGATATTATCTTCTTTCATTGAGGATTTAGCACTGCTTTTGACAAGTATATGGGGCACCAACAGTCTAGAGTCAACCTGCCAATTTCAGATGACTCGAAGCTGAGCCAAAGTCCCTGTGAAGGTGTGTCCAATTCTGGATCACCCTTATTCTGAGTGTACAGTCCTAGGACCCCATTCAAAGTGAGAATTAAATCTATATATTTATAAATTCCTTCAGTCACCTATCTACTCATTTACTTATCCATCCACATATGTATTTCTTGTACATTCATTTATCAATGAATCCGTTCATATGACCATCTCTCCTATCTATCTTTTGTCCATCTATTTCTTTATTCATTCATTTGTCAGTACAATCAAGTATACACTAATCTATGGATTAATTTATTCATTTATTAGCCTAGCCCTTGGATTAACTGACAGAATGCCTATGCCAGACACTGGTATAGGTGTTCAGGAAGGAGATGAACAATCAACCAATCAATCAAAAGAATGATAAGTGCTATGGAATATGTAAAAAGTAGAATAGGGAAAAGGGATCAGGTTACTAGGGTGGGAAGCGCTGGAATTGAGATTTTAAGAAAAGTGGCCATTTTAAGAAAGGTGGAGCCAAATGACTAGGTCTGGCCAATGAGTTGCAAGTAGAAATATTTGTGCCAAACCTTCCAGAGGTCTTTTCTTAAAAAGGTGGGCCTTGCTGAGATGTGACATGCAAGGGAAGTTTTCCTCTGCAGCCACAGGGAGCTTATCAAGGAAATGACAGGACCAAGAGAGGGCAGTAGCACACAGTGAGCTTTATTCTGGCAGCACTTGACCAGGTTTTCAGGCAGGGGGCTTAGTGTCTCAGTGAATCTGCTCAACAGCAAAATGGGGTATCGGAGAGCTCTGAAGGACATCCCAGCCCGAAGAAAGCCTTCAGGGTTTGTCTCACCCATAGCTGACAGATATTGCGTACAGTTTTGTAAGGTATGCAAAGCAATCAGTCTCTAAATGTCTAGAAACATACTTATTTGGGCTATATTTAAAGCAGTGGAGGTGTAAACTTTTGATGTTGGCCCTGGTAGGCTTTGGGCTACAGGTCCTAGCTGCTGTGAAGTAGACAGCACAGGAACTGATCCACAGGGCTGTCGTTAACAGGGGGCTGTTGAGGTGAGCGTTTCATGTGTCACATGTCTCCAACCTCTCAGGGACCCGCTGGCCCTCCATACTGCCCCTTTTCTCCGTCTCTGCCTCCTGCATCAGCAGGTTGATGCCCGTCAGCACAAGCTCAGCTGGGCTTCTGGGATGGTGGTTACGTGAGCCACACTGTGCCGTGCCTCTTTGCTCTCTCCTCTGTCTTTCCAGCACATCCACGCTTCTTCTCCCTTCTGCCCACATTCAGTCCCCCTATCTGTGCTTGCCTCTGGCCAGTCTCCCTGGAAGAGCTGCAGGGAACTCACTTTTATCCACTTTCCCCCCATATCTCATCTTCATCCCTTCCACATCATGAGCTCCATCACTCTGCAGTCATGCCGTCCACCCCTGCCCCGCTCACCCAACCCCTCTCTGTCCCCCATAGAATTACCTTGTCCTCTGTCCACCCACACATCCCTCGCTGCTCAGCTGCTGCTTCCATCTAGGTGCCAGCCTCCCACACCATCGTGTGCACCTCTGGTTTATTCTCCTACCAGCTGCTGTTGTGCAGGTCACATGTCTGCCTCTTCCTCACCACCCCTAAACCTTCTACTGCTTTGCACTGTCGCCCATGTCTCCATCCTCCTACTGACCATCATATCCATGCTCTCATTTGTTCTTGGTTTTGGCACTCACCTTCAGCTACCTGCTTGCTTTCTCCTAGGCCTCTGTTCCTCCAGCCAACAGCTCCTTGGGCCCCTACTGTTTGCCAGGCTCTCTTCCAAATAAGAGAGGTTTCCCTCCACCGCCTGACCTTTGTAGCCACCAACTCACCCCTTTACACTGGCATCTAGTGATTACGGAGCCCTCCAGACATCAGGCACTCTTCAGATAGGGCCGTCTCTTCCGGTCAGCCCTGCATTCCCAGAGCAGGCACAGGACAAGTAGTATTCAAAGATGGAACCCTTCCATTAACAAATGGCTTCTTGGTCAAGGGTGTAGCTAGGATTGGCCCACCACAAGGAGCATGCAGACCTGCTCTAAGCTTTGGTAATTCTATGCCCTTCCTCCTCACTACAGCTTCTGAGCATCACCCCTGCTCCACAGACAAGGAGGGCCAGGCACAGAGAAGTGCATGACTCTCCTAGGGTGGCTGGGCTCTGACCTTCGCTGTCTGTACCCACTCATCACTCCTGCAGGGGTGGTGGCGGCCCCAGGGACTGAGTCCTGCAGATGCACATCTGCAGGAGACAGCAGAGGAAGGAGCTCTAGGCAGGCCCTGCATGTGTACATCCTGTGGGCCAGCCTCCTGCTTGGGAGGAAGCAGGAGCAGCCTAGAGGTCACAGGAGCACACTTTAGCCCAGCAGTAGACAGAGGCAGGAAGCCTGGGCTGGGGGATAGGGCCGTGTGGGGGAGGGGAAGCCCTTAGAGCTGCTGCCACAAGAGCTGGTCTTTGCTTGGACTTGAGTAGGGAGCCCAGGAAGGCCCCTGGTAGTCTGGGCTTTTGGTAGTCAATGCTTCAGGGCCCATCACAGGCCAGCTGTGAGCACCATAATCTTTCTGCACAACAGTGCCCCTTTCTCTAAAATCGAAGAGTAACAGCACCTTCTTCCCAGGTTGAACAGAATGCTTGGAACACACACACCCTGAATTCTCGACAAATGTCGTCTGTTATTAGGTGGCCTCGCTGGAAGCAGTGGCCAGCGTGCTGCAGTCATGGGACTTGAGCCTCACTGAGGCCATGCTCCAGAACATGGAGGCAGAGCGGCAGCGCCGGGCCCAGGAGGCCCAGAGGCACAAGGAGGCTGAGGCCAAGCGGTGCGGTGGGCAGGAGAGGTGGCGGGGAGCGCTGGCAGTAGGTCCTCTGACTGGCTCATTCCCTCTCACTAGCATGGCCCTCAAGGTGCAGCAGTTGGCCAAGGAGCAGCAGCAGTGCCACAAGGAGGTGAGTTGTGACTTCAGGGAGGAGCTCGGGAAGGAGGAGGGAGAGCCAGGTGGGGAGAAGGGAAAGCAGGGTAGGAAGGAGGGGGAGCCAGGTGGAAAGAAGAACTGGGCGGGGAAGAGGGGAGGGAGACATGTGCGGATGAGGGGGATTCAGTTGAGGAGGAGGCAGAGTCTGGCTGGGAAGAAGGGAGAGCCAGGTGGAGAGGGGGAGGGATAGGCAGGTGGGGAGGAAGGAAAACTGTGTATAGAAGGAGGGGAGAGATGGGGGCGGGGAGCAAAGGGACAGACAGCAGAGGGTGTGGGCTGGTGTCACCATGGCCTGCTGGGTCTTCTGCTCAGCTGCAGCAGGCCTACTGTGAGCTCAACCGGAGGATCACGGAACATGACAAGTGTGAGCGGAAGCGCATGGGCAAGACCGAGCTTACACTGCAGGTGGCAACTGTGGCCAGACTTGTGTCCCTACTTTCTAGACACCCCTCCTTGCTCTGCATCAGCCTGATGGTTCTCCCTCCCAGGCCTAGGGTTCCAGGGCACATCTTTCCTTCTCAATCATGGGAGTCACATTACAACAGTGGCCTCCTTGGGATGGGGGCGGGGGTGCAGAGATCCCAGCAGATGCCTGCCAAGCTGGAATGTGGGGCGAGCAGTGGTCAGCGTGGCCTCTTCCTTCAGGCCATCAAGGACGCAGAGGCCCAGGTGGACAGATTGCGGCAGGAGGCCCAGAAGGCAGAGGAGGCGCTGGCCATGGCCAGGCTGGAGCTGCGGGAGCAGACCCAGGAGGGTGGGTGAGGCTCAACTTGGGGCCGTGGGCTGTGGGCTATGGAGAGGACCAGGGACGGGGTCCTGGCGTTGGATCATCTGTCTGCTGCACTCTGACATCCCCACAGAGGCAGAGGAGATGCCTGGGCTGAAATGCCAGGTCACTGAGTTGCATGATGTGCTGCTGAAGGACGTGGGCGATCGCATCCGTGCTGACGGCCGGTCAGTGTTCTGGGCCAGGCATGGGCTAGTTGGGGGTTTGGGCAGACAGCGGTGACCTGGTGACTGCCTCCAGGTGGCCTCTTGTCATCGACCCTTCGGGCCAGGCAGCCACATTCCTGCGCTACCAGGACACGAATTATGTGGACACGGTGAACCCAGAGCACCTGAGGCCAGAAAGGGTGCGGCTGGCTCTGCTGGGGGCTCTCAGGTGAGGCAGGCTGGGCGCCAACTCACAGGTGAGGTAAGCTGGGCACTGCCCCAGCCCCACCTCAGCCCTTACTGCCCCTCATCTCCTGCACAGGTACGGGAAGCCACTGGTGTTTGACCTGCACGAGGTGGACCTGTTTCCAGCTGTGCAGCGGCAGCTGGAGGCGGTGCAGCCCGGCCTGGCACAGGCGCTGCTGAGCCGTGGCCTGCTGGAGCAGGAGAGGTACCTGTCGCTGCTGCGGCCCACCGATGGGCCGGAGTACAGCCCCACACAATTCCAGGAGGCTCGCCTGGAGCACTTTCGCCTCTTCTTCGTCACTAAGGTTCTGTGGCCGCCGGCCGAGCAGCTGCAGGTGCTGCTCCCAGTGCGTGTACAGCTACCCAGCACGAGGCTCTAGCACTGCCCCAATAAAGCTTGGGCCCAGGGCACTGCGTCTGTGACCGTGCTCATGTCCCTGCCGTGTGCGTGCGGTGCCAAGAGGAGGGGCTGTATGCACGAGTCCCCATCCCTAGCCAGAGGACATTGGTTTGCATGTCTTCTGGGGGACCCGCTGGGAGACATGCAGGCCTCCCTACCACAGATGCGTGCGCAGAGAGGCATGGTGGCAAATGGGAAAGGGAGGACAGGGTGGGGTGGGCAGACCGTGGCCCCAGGTTTGGAGGGCAGGAAGTGACCGTATTATTGGCGAGTGGGTGGACAAATAGACAGGTAGTAAAATGTAGTCAACTTTATTCTCCTTAAACCACAAAATAGAGTCTTTGGTTGTACAAACATCACTAGTTACAGTCTCGCCAAGAGGTCTTGGCTGGGGGTGGGGGCAGTTAGTCAGAGGCCAGAACTCCTGAAGGATCTCTTTAAAATGCTAACACCCAGATTAAAAGATTCAGGGCAAGGGTGATGTTGGAGCTGGCAGGGCCCCCGCCCCAAGTCAGGGGAGGAGGCACCCTGCCCCTCTAGGAGGGAACAGGTCCCAGGCCACGGCGCCCTGGCCTCACAGGGCGGCGGCTGCTGCACAGCGTCATGTCTTCGGGGCCTACGGCGCTAGGTGAGGGCCTGCCCAGAAGCACCAGGGCCACCTCTCCATCCTCCTCCTGTGGGCCTGGCAGGTGGGGGCAGGGAAGCAGTGAGCTGAGGGCGGCTGGTCTCCTGGGAGCTCACCCCCTGCCCTGCCCTGCCCTGCCCCAACTCACCAGGGCTGGGAGATGGTTCCAGGGACCTCAGCTCCTCAGCAAAGTCCGGCGACTGTGATGGGGAGAGGGCTGGTCAGGGCTGGTACCAGACCTGCCCAAAACCACCACACAAATGTGACCGGCTCCCTACCCCTGAGGCCCACAGAGCCTAGTGGGGTTGGGATAGAGCCGGGCTGAAGGAAGGAGGCAGGTGGTAAGGCCCTACATCCGAGGGAAAGAACGAGGGGGGAGCAGAGAGCAGGAGGCACTGCGGGCGTGGACAGAGGCAGGGTGGCAGGCGCGTGCAGAGGGCCCAAGGGCCGTGGATACCTGGATGTCATAGACAGGTCTGGAAGAAGGCAGGGCTGCAAATGCCCTGTAGTCAAACTTCTTTCCAGACAAGGGCTTGAAAGGACAGCGTGAGGGGGAGAGGCAGAGAGAGTGAGAGGAAGAGGTGAGGGCCATGGGGGTAGGGGAAGCTGGATACCCTCCTCCATGCCTCGGGGGCTGAGGGGAGGGCCACAGCCTTGGGCTCCTCACCAGGCGTCCCGGGGAGGTGTTGATCTGGGGGCCGAGGTCTGGGGGGACAAGAAGCAGGCATTGGAGGAGACCCATGCAGCACGCTGAGTCCCCCATCTCCCCCTGGACACACAGACCTTCCACAGGTGTGGGCGATGGGGTGGGTGCAGGAGAAGGGGCCTCGGCCAGCCGCTCCAGGGGCCCACGCTTGCTCCGGCCATCCTGGGACTTGCTGAGGACCATCTGTGCTCGGAGGGCATCCTGCTCCAAGGATTTCATCCTGTGGAGACCAGCAGGCCAAGTGACCCAGGGCAGGTGGCCAGAGATCAGTGCAGGGCAGGCCAGTGTTCACGGTAAGGCCTCACCTGGCCGCCCTCCACAGTGCCCGCTTTTCAGCCTCCAAGGCCCGACGCTCAGCAGGGGACAAGGCCCGTTCCGGCACCGGTAGCTCTGGGCTCTGCATGCGTAGTCGTTCCTGGTGGCGTCGCTCAGCTTTGGCTGTCCGCACTGGAGCGCCACCTCCCAGGGGTGGAGGGGGCGCTGGGCTGTGCCTGGGAAGGAACAGGATGCATCGTGGGGGAGGGCGCACAGCCGGGGTAGGGATGGGGGCGAGGGATGCCAGGCAGGCACGCACCCTCCAGCAGGGCTTGGGCTGGTCCAAGGCGGCTCTTCCTCCTGCTCTTCCTCCTCTTCTGGGGCCTCCCCATCCAGGGCGAGCCTCGCTTCGGCCCCTGCCTCCTCTCGCAGCATCTGTGCTCTCTTCTGCTGCAGCTTGCGGGCTGATGGGAGGGGAGGGCAGGGCAGGTCAGACTGGGTCAGCTTGCGCTCGGCCCCCACCAAACGGCTCCCCCGCCCTCTCACCTTCCTCCTCCTGCATCTTCCGCAGGTCATCAGCACCCACCAGGGACACACGCTTTGGGGGGCCCTCGGCCTGGGGCACCCGCACCTCCAGCTCAAAGTACTTCTGCCTCTCACGGAAGGACAACTGCTCTGGGGAGGCGGCGGGTCCAGGCGTTGGGGGCTAGGAGGAGCAGACCCTGAGATCCCAGAGCACCAGGCCTTTTGGGGTACCTGCCCCACAGGCATGCAGCAGGGAATGGTGCGGCCCCCCACATACCTGGGTTGGAGCATCCTCTGGAGGGTGTGTAGTGGGCACGGCAGCGAAGGCCCGGTAGGCCTGCTTCACGTTGGTGGGCAGCTCATCCGGGGAGGGTGGGGAGGGTAGCTGGGGGGGCAGGGCTCGAGTAAGCTGTGCTGGGGCAGCTGTCAGGGCTACAGCCATGCCCACACACCCACCTGCTGTCCCCACCACCTGCCTCTGCCCACACCCACCATCCTGCTGGGGAGGGAGGCTCACCACCCCCACCCATGGAACAGGACACTCACGGAGCGGGGACCACCTCTGCCCCTGGGGGCCGGGGAGCCCCTTGGCCAGGCCTGAGCCAATGGCTGGATCACCCCCGGTTTTGTCTGCAAAGGGCAGGATAGAAGGCCAGAGGAGAGCAGGATCAGGGGTTCAGGTGAGTGATGGAGGAGGCGGCCAGGAGAGAGAGAGAGAAAGAGAGAAAGATGGAGGCCAGGTGGGCTGCCTGTGAGGGGCCGAGCTGGGAGCTGGGCTCCATGTGGGCACTGCCACCCTCCCCCACCCTGTGTGCTGAGAAAGGGATGCTCATGGGGGCAGCAGTGAGGCAGACAGGCCCTCAGGAGGGCTGCGCCTGGTACACTGATTGGCTCTCAGGAGGCTTGGGTCCTCCAGGATCTGGCCAGGAAGGTGTCCACAGGCTGTCCTCACACAGAATCCCCCATTAGCAGAGGGAAGACAAGAGTCAACTCCAAATTTGATGGGGCAGTGGGGAGGGAGGCCCTGGCTCCTGACACCCACCTCCCTGGAGGAGGCGACCCTGAATAAAATGCCCTTCTGTCCTCACCCATGGGATGCCTGGGACTTGAAGCACCCACCTGCTGGCCATTGGGGGAGCAGGGAGCCTCAATCATCTTCCCTCCAGCTGTCCCAGACAGTACCTGGAGAAGCAGGCAGTGGGAGGGGTTAGGGCAGGCAGGGCTGTGGCCCCTAAGCCAGAGGGACTGGGGGCCCAGACACTTGCCTCGAGGGCACAGAAGTGACTCCTCAGTTCCCCAACACCACGGCCCAGGGGATGTCCCTAGACAGACTTGGTTGACCACTTGGCCAGGACAAAGAAGTCCCTAAAAGGCAAAGGCCTGGAGTTCACCCAGCTCCTCCACTACCCCTGCACCCTCCAGGGTGTGGAGAGTAGGTGTGGTGGGGGCAGGGAAGGTGAGAGGCCTGGGGCTGAGACCTAGGCTGAGCAGCCAGGTATCTGTCCCTGACAGTGGGCTGAACTAAACTCTGCAGGGGGAGACAGAGATGGCAGACCAAGAGGAAAAAGCAGTGAGGGCTCAGAGGGAGGTGATGGGAGCTCACCCGCCTGCAATGCCTGGCCCTCAGGGCTCTGAGTGCAGCCCCTGCCTGCTGCTCAGGATCCCTGACCCCCACTACCCTCTTGTGTGCCCCAGATATGCTTGAGCCAGGGAGGCCTCTGACCCCTGCCAGCCACCCCTGGAGCTGTATCCCTTCTTGATCAGAGAATTCTGGGTGCCCCTCTCCCGAGGGCTTCTTTCTTGGGGCTGTCCAATGGCCAGAGGAGGGAGGGTCGGTACCCAAAAGCCCGAGTGGGCTCTCTCAGTCACAGGCTCCACCTGGCCCCTTATAGCCGCCCAGTAGAGCCCACTCCTCAACCACTCATATTCTTGTGGGGTCTCCCAGCAGCTGCTGACTGGGTACACCCTCTGGGAGGATTATTTATATCTCTTGGGGGAGGAATAAGGACTGCATATCCTTCTTGCCTATCCCCAGGCCCGTAACTCTCCTGGTATCCATGCCTGGCCCAGACCCCCAGCACTCGTCCTCCAGCACAGCTGTTACTGCTGGGCACCTCCCCCTGTCCCCTGGCCTCCTATGACTCCTCCAACTGCTCCAGCCCATCCCCCCTACTGCAGAGCATGCATGCGCAATATCACCAGTAGCCCTGATGGCTCCAGTGGCCTCCATCTGCCTCTGCCCCCAACCCATGCTTTCTGGGGCCAGGCAGCCAATCTCCACACCCAGTCTGCTCGGTGAGTACGAGGACAAGGAAGAGGGGGCCAAAGCTAAGGTCCTTCAAAATGTCAGGTCCCACTCGGTCGAAGGACCTGCCCCGTCTCTCTCATCCTTAGAGGGAGGGGCATGGGGGGTAGATGGGGTACCAGAATTAAGGGGGAAAAGACATGTGCCAGGTTAGGAGGCAGAGCTCCAGTGGGGTAGCCTGCAGACCCATACACAGCCTTCTCCAATCTCAGCCCCTGCCCCCAACCCAAAGGTTCTCTCCATGATGGCCTTGGCATTCCTCCTGGGGTGGGCAGATGAACAGGACAGAAGCTGGGTAGAGGGTGCAACTACATACACACCAGACACTGACCCTTTGCATACTGCCAGCGCTGGGCACTGCAGCCAGGGCACGGTAGTCCAGCTTCAGGGGCTCCAAACTCCGACCCTGGGGAGCAGAGTGGACGGCACAAGCAAGGGCTGACTATGGCCAGCAGGGAGCAGTGCTGTGGGCAATGTCTGGCCAGCTGGAAGTTATGGACACTGCAAGGGGTATGGCCAATAGTGGGCACGAGGATGGGAGGCCTGGGACACGGCTGCCCACTACCTCATAGGCTATGTCCATCCTTCTAAGTGCCCCGATGGGAGGGGGCAGCTCAGAGTCAGGGGCTCCTGTGGGGGCAGGAACAACACTCACCGTGGCCTCCATGGCCTCAGGCCCCCAATGCGGGGTCTGTGCAGGCAGCTCCTTCTCCTGCAAGCAGAGTAGACATGAGTCAGGAACTGACAGCCTCAGGATCCCTGGCCCTGAGGCTGCCAGCCGCAGGCATTTCTGACCTTGCCTGGGCCCTCGGGACTCAGCTCCCGGTCGATGGAAGAGATGCTTTCTAGACTGTTCCGGTGGCCGATGCCTGCTGCAAAGGGGTTGGCAATGATACCTGGGGACACCTGAAAGGAGAGGAATGGGCTGAAGATGGGGGACTTCAGCCACAAGGGGCAGGCTGGAGCCTCAGTCCAGGATAAGCCAGTGACATACAGTGGACACAGGACACATGCTGCTGGATGGGCGGGGTGACCACACAGGTGAGATGGCCTCCAGAAGCACTCTGCTGAGCCACCCAGGACACTGCACCACTGTCCCCAGCCCAGTCTCCATCAGGGACACCAGCTCGTAGGGCTACTGTGGACACAGGTCATATCTACACATGGCAGGACTGGGGCGGGACAGAACAAGCTGACTGTGTAGTCACCCCAAGGAAGACCTGACAGCCTGTGAGATGGGAGAAGGGAGTATGTGGTAGGCAATGCATCCGGTGGCACAGAATGGCCCTCACAGATGGACAGGCTGCTTCTAGAATCTGCAGTGACTGCTGAGGGAAGATCTGAGACAAGGGACACACTGCAAGAGAAAATGCAACTAGTTCTGAATTTAAGAGCTAAATCATCTGTAAAAACAAAAACCCAATGATTGGGAGGGGAAGAGGGGAGTCTAGAAAGGCAAGTCATCTGGTCTGGGCACAAGGTGCACTTGGATCATGAGCATCAAGGGTAAACACAGGCAGACGGAAACTGGGGACTTGCTCACTTCCAACCCCACAAGGGACAAGGGACTGGCTTAACCTCCACCAACAGCAAGTACCAGGAGAAGAGGAGATGGCAGCACACTGGGAAGAGAGACGCCTACAGTCACCCTCACTACAAATAGGATCCCCTACTAAAGAAAGATGTTGTCAGTGTGGGTTGAAACAAACCCAGCTGTACACTGTTGTTTAAAAACTCAATTGAAATAGTAAGAAAAAAGGTAGACAAAGAGCTGCTCAGGCAAGAGAAGATGGGATGCAAGGTTTAAAGTGTCAAGAAGGCAGAGAGGGACACTTACAACACAAGGTGCCATTTACAAAGATAAATGATTGTAAGTTGTCAGCACTAAACAAGTGAGCAGCTACATAGAGAAAACAAAGACTACTAGAAATATGAAGGCTTGATAAAAACAATTATAATGGGAGTCTTTATGTATGCCTTTTTCAGATTCCACAGAACTAGTAGAACAACAACAACAAACATGGTATCGTCTCAATTTCTGGAATAACTTAGTCAAAAAGCCACTGGGCAGGCCTGAGAGAGGCAAAGGCCTGGTGGGGTGTGAAGGAAGGTCACACAGAGGGAATGAGTGGAAGGACAAGCATCAAGGACAAAGAATATGGAAGACAGACATGTGCATTGATTGAGAAAGCCATGGTATAAACTCATGCTTTCCTACGGTTCCAGAAATAATCATAGAAACGATTTGCATGTTCCCTAGCTCTGGTGACTGAGAGGTCCTGAGATGAGGACACCCTGACAGAACCATGCAAACCCAGTGCCTGGACCTTGGCTTCTAAGTATCACTCTCCACTAAAAGGAACCAGCACTCCTTGGAGAAATGGTTGATTCCAGGGCTGAGCAGGGAAAGTATGAGATAAGCCCAGAGTATCCTGGGGTACAGAAAGTGAGGAAGTGCTCAAAAATAAAAATGACCCAGAACTAGCCTGAAACCCGTTCCATGGACCAAGGCTGGGACAATTTGAACATCAAAATATATTACAATGGTAATAAACTATCAACTATGAAATAAAACTGAAACCTGTGAGTCCACAGGAATGGGTAAGTAGATGATACATAAGCTGGGGGGAGGGGCGCTTGTCTTTACAGCAGAAGGCCAACTGATAAATGTAGGAGTGATGGGTTAAGATACCATCAGCACCACCGCAGGCCTCCTTTGGGAGCCACCAAGGTCTGAAGGTGGCAGGCGGAGGTTGGATGAGGAATGGGATGTTTGTACACTCAAAGCAAATACTTATTCATTTCAAAATGGAAGGAGTAACTTTGCAGTGGGAAAAACTGGCTGATACTGCCCTGCAGATCATCTGTAGTGGGACAAACTACCAAGCTGTGGGCCCTGATTGGAGGCCCAAGAGACACAGTATCGCATCTGTGACGATCTTGGCAAAGACGCACACACTGAAACTCCCTGTAAGTGAACATTAAAAAGCTACCTCAGTAGCCAGCCATCTTTGGAAGTTTCCCGGGCACCAGCTTATTACTCTAAAAACTGACAAATAAAAGAATCAAGCATCTATCGTGTCTTTCCTGTATACAAGGGGAGACAAAAAAATATATGTAAAGAATTATCTTTTGGAAGGCAGGCCTCTTGTAGTACACTTGGAATTTGTTCCTCTGGATCAAATGGTCAACCAAAGTTTTTATCTGGAAGTTTTCAGAAAGTTACATCATGATTTGCAGAAGAGACATTCCGAATTGTGGTAAACAGGTAAGTGGTTCTTCTACCATGACAACACACCTGCCCACGCCCTGCTGAGTGTTCAGCAGTTTTTGACCAAAAACGGCATGACCCCCGTGTCCCACCCTCTAATTACCCGATCTTACCCCAGCAACTTTTTTATTTCCCTGGATGAAAAAAAGTCCTCAAAGGGAAACATTGTGTTGATGTGGAAGAGGTGAAACAAAAAACGGCAGAAGCACTCAGAGGCATGAGAAGGGATGAGTTCAAAAACAACTGTGATGAGTGGAAAAAGTATCTTGATAGGTGTACTGCATCCAATGGAGAGTACTGTGACGGTGTCTGAAGTTTAAACATGTCGGAATAAATACACAACTTTTTATAAATCAATTCTGGATTTTTTTGGGTGCCTCCTCGCAAAACTCACATCAGGATTAAAAAAAAAAACAAAAACACCAAACTAATAATCTCTTCTTTACAGATTAATCTGTAGAAAAAATTAAAAAGAGATGATAGGGTTCCTCCTTAGAGCCCAAATAAGAAAATGCTTAAAGGAAAGGTGGTCTTTTTGTTTAGAGTTTTATGTTATTACAGGGGAAGGTCTTAATATTCAAAGGCTAGCTGTGACAAGGCCATTAAAACTGGTCAGTGTGATTAGGAGAAAAAAGAAGACACAAATAATGGGACCAAAAAAGAGAAGATAAATATAGAAGAAAAGTAACAGAAGGGAGAACATTCTCTTCTTTATACCAAACACATGAAATTCAAAGGGAAAAGTTCTCTTGGAAAGCGCAAATTAGCCCAGGTTTGCTGAGAGGTTCTTGGTGCTGATGGTGGTGAGGTGGGCGCATGCTGTACTGTATGCTTTATTGAATCCTCACAATAGCCCTGAGAAGCTGGCATTGCTATCATTCCACTGAATAGATGAGGAGACTGGGGGTTAGAGAAGTCAAGCACCTGCCTAAGGCCCTACATCAATTGAAGGCCTAGATTTATGAAAACTGTGCAGGTAGGCCGGGCACGGTGGCTTAGCCTGTAATCCCAGCACTTTGGGAGGCCGAGGTGAGTGGATTGCTTGAGGCCGGGGGTTCAAGACCAGCCTGGGCAACTTGGTAAGGTCTCGTCTCGACAATAAATCAAAAGAATAAGCTGGGTATGGTAGCATGTGCCTGTAGTTACAGCTACTTGGAAAGCTCAGGTGGAAGGCTCGCCTAAGCCCGGGAGGTCGAGGCTGTGGTGGCCGTGAGCGTGCCACTGCACTCCAGCCTGGGTGACAGCATGAGACTCCAACTCAAAAAAACAAAAACAAAAAACTGTGCAGGCACCCTAAAAATACAGCCCTAGAAGGAAAAACAGACCAGTTCTGACACTCACTCTAGCCACTTTTCCCAAGTGCTGGGGGAAGTAAAGACAGCCAGCCAGCTCATAAGCTAACCCAAAGACTGCTTCACAGAAGGAAAAGGAAGTTACAGAATCCATTTGGCAAACTCTGATGCTAGCAGGCTAACACAGGTGAGTAAAGAAAAAATAGGGTGGGGGCAAAGAGTCATGAGCACCCCTACCCTGGACAGTTCAGAAACACAGATGGCCCTGTGGGAAAGAGGGGCCAGCTGTGCCAGGTCCTCTAATTTTTTGTGTGAGAAGCCAACAATCTAGATATCACCGTGAAGAGTCCTGATGTTAAGTGCCAGCTCCTCTTTCAAGCACCAAGTCTGCTGATGGAACTTCCATGGGCAGAACCAACTCCACTCAGTGGATAAGAAGAGTTTAAAAAAGTTCAATACTCACTTCAGATAATATTTCTTATAGATTATAAATAGAGACAGTACCTTGAATTTAAAGAAAGTTATAAAAGAAACTACAGCAAACATCACATTACAAGATGAAGTCCCTTAAAGGTGAGTACAAGTCAAGGCCTGTGGCCACTACTGCTTCCTACAGCACTAAGGCACACTAAGGTGATTCACAGGAGGGGCCTGACAGAAGAAGAGAGATCACTGCTATCTCCACGGACAGCAGGGTTTCTGCTAGGACACGAAACAAAGCCAACTGATTAGGATTCATTAGAATAAATAAAAAAAAAACAAGAGCAACTAGGAATGTACTTGAGGAAAACTAAAGATAATCCCAACCAATTTTTCTTATGGAACTTGGCAGGTATATTTGGAAGAGAAAAAACATGACAATAGAAACTTTTCAAAAGAAGAAAAAAGAGTACCTGACCAATTAGGATTAAGTATTAAACCACAATATAAAGTGATGGTAATTTAAAACACTGTGGCATTGACCCAGGAGTGACTCACAGCTCACTGGGACCAAGTCCAGAAACAAACAGAGCATATGGGAACTGTACACACAAGTCACATTTCCCCCCCAAATCAGTGGGAAAATGACTGATTATTCAATAAATACTGTCAGGACAACAACATATCCAATCACTTGGAAAACAATTCCAGGCAGACTACAGAGCTATGTTTTTAAAAAAATTATAAAAGTGCTGGGCTCGGTGGCTCAGCCTGTAATCCCATGCCTTTGGGAGGCTGAGGTGAGTGGATTGCCTGAGCCCGCGGGTTCTAGACCTGCCTGGGCAGCGAGACCTCATCTCTACCATAAATAAAAAAATCAGCCGGGCGTGGTGGCGCATGCCTGTAATTCCGGCTACTCAGAAGGCTGAGGCGGAAGGATCGCCGGAGCCCAGGAGGCCGAGGCTGCGGTGGCCGGGAGCAGCCACTGCACTCCAGTCTGGGCGACAGAATGAGACTCCAACTCCAAAAAAAAAAAAGAAAATTATAAAAGTACTCGAAGAAAACATAGGACAATGTTTTTATAGTCTTACAACAGGGAAGGTTTTCCTAAGCAAAAACCAGAATCCAGAAGTCATAAAGAAAAAGGTTAAAAGATTTAATCCATAAAACATTTAGATTTTTTTTTAACTCAAAAGATACCCTCTCCTTTTTTTTTTTTTTGAGTCAGAGTCTCACTCTGTTGCCCAGGCTGGAATCAATGGCACGCTCATGGCCATCCCAGTGTCAACCTGCTGGGCTCAGGAGATCCTTCTGCCTCAGCCTTCCAAGTAGCCGGAACTACAGGCGTGCACTACCATGCCCAGCTAATTTTTTTGATATATTGTAGAGACGAGGTCTCACCAAGTTGCCCAGGCTGGTCTCAAACCCATAAGCTCATGCAATCCTCTCACCTCGGCCTCCCAAAGTGCTGGGATTATAGGCTTGAGTCACCATGTCTGGCCAAGACATCCCTTTTTAAAGGAAAAGGCAAGTGACAGATGGAGAAAAACACACCCATCCCTGTATAGCAAAAGATGGCACCCAGGCCCCACTCGATGGAAGACCATTGCCTGCAATATGAAAGAGCAACTACGAGTCCTGAGATGAAAGGCAAACTCAACAGGTATTCCAAGAGGATGTAGAAAGCAGGCGGGAGTGATGGGCACAAAGGGAGTTCAAAGATGGGTTCTTTTTTTTTTTTTGAGTTGAACTCTCAACCCGTTGCCCAGACTGGAGTGCAGTGGCCACTCCTGGCTACCACAGCCTTGACCTGCTGGGTTCCGGCGATCCTTCCGCCTCAGCCTTCTGAGTAGCTGGAACTACAGGCGCGTGCTACCACGCTCAGCTAATTTTTTTGATTTATTGTAGAGATGAGGTCTCGCCAAGTTGCCCAGGCAGGTCTCGAACCCGCGGGCTCAGGCAATCCACTCACCTCAGCCTCCCAAAGGCGCGGGATTACAGGCTGAGCCACCGAGCCCGGCTAAAGATGGGTTCTTGGCTCCCCTGCCTGCCACCTAGGGAGCCCTTGGCCTGTCAGATATGGCAGAAACAATGTCTGCACCCTCCCAATGCCAGGAAGGATATGAAAACGGTGCTGGCTCTATGACAGGGTCAGCTGTCAGCCAGCATGTGACATTTAACACCTTTTGATTCTGACCCTTTCCTGAAGAAACTCATCCTACACAGACATGCTCACAGGCATGTTCACTGGGAATGTCTGAGCAGTGATGTGGGCGTGGGTACAGACCACACAGTCTCTCTGCACTTGTGGGGAGGGACCACCAAACACAGCAAGGACAACCAGTAACACAATAGCACGAGGTCAGACAGCAGCGTGATGTGGACACAAACCTGGCTACAATCATGGGCCTGCCAGCCCCTATTCTTCTGGATGCTTGAGCCCTTCCCCAAGGTATTCTTTCTCTCTGAGTAAAAAGTTTAAAATAAATACATGCTTTGGATAAAGTATCTTTAGATATACGTTTTTATTTTTATTTTTATTTTTGAGTTGAAGTCTCACTCTGTTGCTCAGAGTGGAGTGCAGTGGCCGCTCTCGGCCACCGCAGCCTCGACCTGCTGGGCTCCGGCGATCCTTCTGCCTCAGCCTTCCAAGTAGCTGGAACTACAGGCGCACGCTACCACGCCCGGCTAATTTTTTTGATTTATTGTAGAGATGAGGTCTCGCCAAGTTGCCCAGGCGGGTCTCGAACCCGCGGGCTCAGGCAATCCAAGATATACGTTTTAAATAAACAAATAAAAGGTAAAGTTCTCTCCAGGGACCAGATAGTTTAGGACTTAAGTCCTAAAAGAAATTCCTCCCTAGAAACCACCAGGACTCCCTTGGGACAGCAGGGGATATAGGCTCCAAGCAGCCTAGGGAGCAGTGCTGGTCTCTAGTCCCACGTCCAGCCATGGAGCAAAAAACACAAATGTAAACTTGTTTCACATTAGGGTAGTCCCACACTGGCAGTGTGGGTCAGGGTGCCCTATCTGTGATTGTCAGTCATTGCTTGTCTTTCTGACTGGCATCTGACAATAAGTCATCATACCAAAAGAGAGAGCCAAACAAGGGGCTGCCCCATCCCAGAGGCTGTCACAGAACAGAAGCTGAGCATGTGCTGGTGGGGAGTAGTAATGCAAATATAACCTGGGGGAATGGGCAGCCACTGCGGGTGAAAAGCCCTTAGAAGCCTGTTCGGGCCTGCAGACAGTGCCCTAGGGACAGCAGGTAGGCGAACATAGGCGAGAGACAGGGAGGCCTCTGAGAGAGCTGAGGCTTGTCCAGAATCCAGGCCAGGCTGGGAGGGAGGATGGCTGGGATGCCATCCTGTGCCCCTATTCCTGGTCTTGGCTTCTGCTGCTGGGGTCAAGAGGGAAGGAGATCTTGGGGAGGGAGCTCTCTCCTGAGGGGTCACCAGAGGGGTGCCCTGGGATTAAGCAGGGTCCAGGGACAAGCTGGGAAAAGCAGGATGCCACCCTGGCAAGTCCTGAGAGGCCTCTGCCTGGTTAGTAGGCTCCAGGCAAGGTCCAGAGCCCTATCTGTCCCAGTCTAGTAGGACACTCTCTACGGGCGTTCCCTACCTGGAGACTAGTGGCTCAAACTCTTTTTTATAGCCAGACCATGCCAGGCCCCAGACACACCCCATCTGTTCACATGCCTCATTCTACCTGGGCCAGAGCTCACAAGAACAGGTTGTTGGTGGGAGAGAGGAATGGAACCAGGTGCCATGGTGGGAGGGAGGCTGCCTCCCTCCCACTATGGCAGACTCAAAAGTCAAGTACTTCCTAGGCTCTAAAACAAGAAAGATCTGCCACCCTGGCCTGCATGGAGCCAGCTCATCATGACATCTTGGGGTTGTGGTGGGGGCAGGACCTGGTCCCCGGGGCAGGGTACTGACCTCCAGGGCTACAGTGGCACTAGTGTCGAAGCCATCGCAGACAAGCACGGTGAGGGTGTCACCCACACTACGAAGCAGCTGCACAGCTTCCCCATGCGTCAGGCCCAGCAGACTCTGCTGGTTCACCTCCAGCAACCGCAGCCCCACACGCAGCCGGCCATCACGCCCGGCTGCCCCTGTGGGGCTCACCTGCAGGGAGACCAGTGTGGGAGAGACCTGACTGTGGGAGAGACCCGGGGGCAGGGGGGATTCAGAAGCTTGGAGCTGGCCCTCACCTTAGAGATAAAGATACCCTCATCCGTGGGGTCACAGGGGTTCCCAGCGTGGCCCTTAGCACCCCCGCGGATGCTAATGCCCAGCTTCTCCCCAGGGGCCTTCTGGATGCAGAGCTCTCGCATGCCTGGAGGCGGTGGGTCTCTCCTCACGAGCAGGGACAGCTCCAGGCAAGGCCGGAGCAGGGCACTGACCGCCTCTTGGTGTGTGGCCTCCCTTACGTCCTGCCCATTCACTGCCAGGATGCGGTCCCCAACCCGCAGGCCACTGCGAGCAGCCAGGCCCCGCGGGAGCACCTGTTGGAGGAGGGCAGCGTCTCCAACATTATGGCTGGGGCCACAATGGCCCATGCCCAGGCACTCAGGATGGGTCCTCCATACACAGAACCACCCAGGTAGACCCACCCTACCTTGGAGATGAACACACCAGGTTCCTGGATACCAAACGGGTGGCTGGAGTGGTCAGAGCCTCCGACAATGCTGAGTCCCAATGGGCCCCCAGCTCTCGGCAGGCGGACCTCCTGGGGACAAGAGACAGGCCTTGGTGAGGGTAGGGAACCAACTCAAGGGGATGAAACGGTTGTTGATGAGCAGCTCAGAGAGGGCAGCCAGGTCCTCAGGGATGGGAGCAGGGGTACCCTAGTAAGTCCAAGTTGGGGGGGCATCTCTGCTGGCCACTGCAGGGCTCTGCTGCCCAGGTAGGCATACAGTGTCAAGGTCCATAGGGGACCACACCAAGGGGTCTGACTACGGAGAAAAACCCCCAGTCTTGGGGGCCCCAAGTGGAAAGGGCGTACATCCTGACATTCCGACCCAGAGGGTACTACAGGGCCATAAGGGGGAAGTCCTAGGAGGGACAGCGCCCCACACCTGGAGCTGGGTGGATGCCTGGGTGGGGGCAGGTGTCTCACCTCCACTGGGTATGGCCCCTCCAAGGCAGCAGCCAGAAGACTAGGGGCCAGCCGTGGCAGCCCAGGCTCTCCGGGGATGGCAGTGGTTACAGTGGTGGTGATGGTGGCAGTGGTGGCAGGTGGAGAAGAATGTGGTGGAGGGCTCGAGGGAAGAGGCGCCCCAGCTTCCCGCTCCAGCAGCAGGGCGATGGTGGGGGAAGCAGCAGTCAGCAGGGAGACAGCGTGGTCATGCCGGGCCTCAGTGACATCTACTCCGTTGATCTGTTAAGAGTGCACCTGAGTCAGAAAGACAGACCCAAGAGCTGGACAGGACAGAAGGCCCAGGACAGCCCCACCAACCCCCACTCACCGAGAGGACACGGTCGCCAACCTGCAGTGTGCCTGCTCGGTGGGCAGCACCCCCTTCGGCGATCCGGGAAATGAAGATACCCTGCAGAGGGGGAAAGAGCCAAAGCCACTGGTGAGGCCAGAGAACGTGGATGTTGTGGGGGGTGCCTCATGCTCTCAGCGCTGAGCAACCCTTCCGCATGCTCTGAGCCCCAGTCCTACCGTGTCACCAGCCCGGTAAGGCGTGGAGCCTTTTCCACCAGCAATGCTAAAGCCCAGCCCTTTCTCGCTGCGCACCAGACAGGCCACATGACGCTGCCGGAGGGGTCCAGGGGTCTCTGGCTGGAGTAGGGGCAGGCGCAGGCCCCCCCCGCGCCGCTCCCGGGGACTGTAGTCATCCTCAGGTCGCAGAGGTGTGATAGTGACAGCATTCTCAGGCTCCACCATACGTTCCCGCCATACTCGCATCTGCACGGTGGCACCTGCCCCCCGGAGTGCCTCCACAGCCTCGTGGTGCTCAGCGTCCTGCAAGGCCACACCGTTCACCTGTGGGCAGTAGGGGACAGAGAATACAACACATATCAAGACCCGGGTGTCGTCACTCTGACAGTCAAGCGCTGGGAGTGCCACACCCCCTACTCCCATGGATGAAGAGTCAAGGCAGAGTGAGGAGACTGGTCCCAAACTCTGGACCACACCCTGGCCTTTCACAGGGCTGGCCCCTCCCCTGCCAGGCCTCCAGGAACACTGTATATACAGCCCCAGGACCAGGACACGGTTGTCCAGGGAAGGCAGGCAGATGCCCCTGCAGCTAGTCTGCTTGTGTCTGCACTCCTGGATACCTCCTGTCCCATCTGAGCAGTCAAACAGTTGAGATTATCAGGCTACTGACCCAGGCCCCCAGCCCCAACCATTGGGGGACAAGACTTCCTATGCAAAGGTGACACGAGAGCTAAGGCAGGGAATGCACATGCAGCATCAGCCACCCTGGTTAGCACCCTCCTGGCTGGGGTCCCCAGGGCCCTCACCTGTCCTCACTCACATCCCCCACAGAAAAGGCACACAGCCTTCTCATGAGCTCCCTGATGCACCTCCCCAGGCTGGATGGCCAGGTGCCCAGGTGGAGGCTCCAGGGTTCCCACATAAGGACCAAACCCCTACCAGAAATGCCAGAGGTCTGACGCCTTCCTGGTCAGTCCCAGGAGTGGACTCTCCTGGAGAGGCCCCTGTGCTTATACAGTCAGTACCCTGCCCCACTGGGTTTCCCACTCAGACAGGATCTCCCCTGGGGCTGACAGCTAGGCATCCTGGCTTAAGGGCTCTATGACCTCACCTATGTGTTCTAAAGTCCTATAACTGTGGCTCTCGAAGAAAGTAGGAGGCCCCCACTTCCTGAGGGGAAGATAGTCAAGCACCCCAACAGCTGGGAGTGTGCAGTTCTGAGGGTACAGCCACCATTGAGTGACCAACAGATCCCTGACTCACCTCGAGGAGCTTGTCACCCACTCGGACTCCAGCCCGGGCCGCAGGGCCTTCCTCAGACACTCGAGAGATGAATATTCCCTGGAGACAAATAGGAGCTAACCCACAAGAGTTCTGACAGAAGCCAGGGAGAGAAGAACACAGTTCTGTCCCTGCTAGAAGCCTGCAATGACTGTGGAAGGCCCAGAAGCCCCCAAGCAGGAGAACTACTTCTAGCAGTCCCCAGCTCTGGGCTGTTCTCTGAGGAGGCCACAAAGAACCACAAGGGTGTAGGAAGGGGAATAGTGGGCTTGGAGAGTGGGCAGTGAGGTTCAGCTCAGGCCGCTGTGGGGTCCTGGGTGCCAGAGGACTGGAAGGTACAGGTCATCTCCAGAAGGGGCTTTTGACCCCAAATCTGGCAGAGAGAACTGGCAAGAAACGGGAGAACTGCCAAGGAAGAGAGCAGACCTGGGTGCCCTAAAGTTGTTCTCACACGTCAAAATCCCACAAAAATGTGTTCATGGGCTGGCCAGTTTTTCTAATAGTCAGTGCTTTGGGCCCAACCCCTGCATCCAGGAATATGTGTGTTCTGAAGGAAAATGGCCCAAGTACAAGTGAAGCAACCAGAAACAGTCAGCTGGGAGACAAAGCAGGCTGGCGTGTGGCAGGAGGGCAGGCCCTGCAGCAGCAAGGGCCTGGTAACCTATGGGCAGTGCTCACCTCATCGTCCCCCTTGTAGGGGGTGGAGCCCTTGCCCCCTGCGATGCTGATGCCCAGGCCCCCTGTCTGCCGCATGATGGTGAGGGTCAGCTGGAAACAGAACAGACAGGAGGTGTCCAAAAGGGGCTGTGGGGGGTGGGGACTGCTGTGTGCTCAGTAGGAGAGGCTGGAGCATAGGCAGCCACCCCCAGCTTTTCCCTGGGCCACCGTGCTGGGTCTTGTGCCACTGACCAGAGTCAGCACAGAGAGCACAGGGGCCAGCTGGATAGAGGCCTCGAGACCCCAGTGAGAGGGCACTGCCGCGACAGAGCATGGATGGTCCAGGGCTTGCCTGCCTCTAGGTGACTAAAGCCTGAGGCCCCACCGCCTGCCCTCCAGAGGGTGAGGACTGATTCTGCTTCTGCACATGTGGTGGCCTCGAGGCTCACAGAGCTGCTAAGGAGAAAATGGGAGATGACCCAGGATCTCCACTCACCCCTGCCAAGACCAGCCGCCCCAGGGCAGGAGGTGCTGCCTCTGCCAGAGGTCAGCAGGCCCCGTGGGATTGTGTCAGCCCCAGGACCCCAGCTCTATGGTGGCTGCTGGGAGCTCTTCTGGCAGGGGGTCTGTGTTCAAGCAATGAGGGGTAGGAGGAGGTGAGAGCCTGCAGCCCAGGAAGCAAGGTCAGCAGCAGTCCCAGGGGACCAGAGTGAGCGGCAGCGAGCAGTACAGACCTCTTCCTCCTCAATGCGAGCAGGCTCTATCAGCAGGTTATTGGCCTGGTCAAACGACACCCCCTGTTAGGACAGGACCAGCGAGGCATGCAGGTTAGCCACCGCCAGGGACCACCACCGCCACCTCACCCAGTCCCTGCCAGGAGCAGAAAGAACAGAAAGAAGACCACACCAAGCTCCCTTGGGCCTCCGTACCAAGGCCTAGAGGCAAGAGTGATATGGCACACATAAGGACAGAAAGGGCTTGGCCAGGGGGAGAACCTGAGCAGAGCTGAGCCCAGCACTGGCTATCCCTGCTTTGAACTTCCAGGACCCCTGAGCTGTCACATGTCATCAGCCCATGCTCAGGATAGGGGTGCTGTGGCGAGCAGGGAGAGTGGAGCCCCTGGGCAGCCTGGGGAAGCCAGGCCTCTCCCTGGCATCTGAGTGTGCCCAGTGAACACGTAGGACCCTTTGTAACCTGTCAAGAGCAGACTGAGGGCCAGAGAGGGACACACTGGTGTCCCATGGATCTGCTTAGAGGCTCAGGAGGGCCTAACGAGGCAGAAAAGTCAGACGGACCAGCAGAAAGGTGGCCGTCAGACCCCAGATGGTACCACAAGGCCAGCTGTAGGGACTCAGGCCTGGAGTGAGTGCCCGACACAGAGAGGATCCAGGGAGAGTCAGTGGCTCTCAGGAGAGGAGAGGATCCTGCCCTGGGCCCACTGGACACACAGATGGGCCAGGAGGAGCAGGGAACACACACGCTTGGCTTCTGTGAGCCCCCTGTGTCTACTGCCAAGTCGGGCAAACACAGACCCACAGGACTGCCCTGAACATGGACCTGGGACCCAGATGAGGTGCACAGGGTGATGATGATGCCAACCATGGGGCACACACATCTACCATCTCCTTCAAGTGAACAAGTGCCAGGAGGCTGAGGCCTGATCTGTGGGGCTCGGTCAGCCAGCAGGGCTGGGTTGGCCTATACACTGCTTCCTGCCATGGTACTGCGTGCCCCAAAAGGGCCAGGGAAGCCTGGGTCAGGAAAGGTTGTGGCTGAGACCCACCTTAACAGAGGGCACAGAAGCCACGGCCTCCTCTTTGTCCTCTTCCTCGGTGGTGGCCTCTCCTTCCTCTTCAGCCCTGTCTTCTTCCTCTTCTTCCTCAGCCCTGTCTTCCTCCTCCTCTTCCTCCTGGGCCCGAGGAGCCCAGGGCGCATGGGGGCCGTTGTGCCAGCCCCCAGGTGCCACAGGGCCCTCCCCATCTGGTTGCATCCCCTGTAGCAGGGCCACAACTGCCTCGGGTTGGGGAAGCTTGGAGATCTTGAAGTGCTTCTTGTAGTGGGGTGTGTCCTTACGGATGAGCCGCTGCCGCCCACCTGGCAGGGCCCAGGGGGCCTCAAGCTGCCCTTCCACACTCTCTTTGTCTTCCCCAGGCAGCAATGTGTCTTCTGCGAAGTGCACTGTGGGCTGTGTAGGCATGAGAATAAGAGTAACTCCTGCCCTCCATCCAGGGGAGCTAGGACCTGTAGCCATGCACCCATGTGGGTCCAAAAGAACTCTGCTGAGCAGTATGGCCATGAGAGGATTTGAAAGGCTCCCTGCTGCACCAAGGACAAGGACTTAGGACAACTGTCTGGTGACAGGCACATGTCTCAGCCCTGAGAAGGCCAGGGGGCTAGTGCGGCTCTTCCTAGAAACATACGTGCCCCCCACAAGGGAAAATACAGGGACATGCAAAGGTCTGACCCTGGGGAGCACCCACCGGGGTCAGGAAAATGGTTCAGGGCATAGTATGAAGGTGATATACATGACCATGCTAAGCCTGGCTGTGGGGTACAGAATCTTACTTTCGCCTGGAGTGGCATCTCTTCCAGGCATGCCCAGCAGCATGATCCCTACACTGAGAACCGCCCCCCAGCCAGGTTCTGCTCCAGGGTACTCCCCTGCATGTCCTACCCTCTCCTAGATAACATCAACATGGCCCAGTGACCACCCACACAAACAATGATCCCAGCTGTGCAACCGCTTAGAGAGAACGGAGGACTGGCAGACCCCACCCCAGTAGGTCCTGCCACTGGGTGAGTGGCCACCAAGGCTTGGCTTCCTTTTTCTCCCTGCCGACCCTCACCTCCTCATAGTCTTCCTCTGTGTCTTCCTCCTGGCCAGCCGGCATGGCTTCCTGCTGGCTCAGCCCCTGTGCTTCAGTCACCAGGCCCTCGGGCTCACCCTCAGAGACTGTGCTGGCGGATGGGCGAGAGTCTTCACTCAGGCCAGATTCGGCGCTTAACCTCTTCTCCTGTGGTGGGCAGTGATGTCACGCTACAAGGGAGCTCACCACTAGCCATCTGGCTGCTTGAGACACCTCCCATGTGGCAGTCCTTTGCTGGGCTTTCCACTGTCCTGATCATGGCACCGCAACAAGCTCACCCCTTAAGCCCCTCTCAGCACCAGCCCCCAGAGAGAATATACCCCTCCAGTGCCGTGGGCATGCAAACTCATAGTTTCACAACCCAGCCCAGTATTAGGAAAACTTTTCCCAAAAAGAGGAAGAACAAAGACTGCCTAAGTTCCCAGAACACCTGCCCGACGAGCTTCCTCCCCAGACAGAGGTGGGTGGTGGTGCATGGTCTGACATATGCCCTATCTCTGCCCAGATCACAAATTTTGTGGCACCCAGGGGACTGAAAGTTTTCTCTACCCCTGATGTCAGAAACTTCTAAACGAACAAAGTAATCCCTGCTCTGTTCCAGCCCCGAACTCCTTCCCAGACACTGATAATACTCAAGTCAGCACCGGGGGTTTCTGGGGAAGACATCAGAGGCCTAGCAGTAGGGCCAGATCGCCATTCTCCATGTCCCAGAGCACACCCACCACGACCCTGGGCACCCAACTCTGGCTCTTCCCATTCTCTAGCCCCATAGATCTGTGCTGCGTGGCCCCTCAACCACCCTGGCATCCCTCACCCAACACAGCCCTGCAGTTGCCCATCTGCCCTTGCAACCTCCCTGGCATCCTGAACCTGCCTCCTTCCCTGTATTGCCCTGGCCCTCGCAGTCCCACTCCCTGGATGGATGGGATACCCATGGTTCCCAAGGGGGAGTGGCCCACTAGGCTGCTGTGGCTTCATGCCCACCTCCTCCAAGGTCAAGGGCAACCCAGGGTCTGGCTTGCAAGGATAGGCCTCACTCCGACGTCCTTCAATGCTCCTTTTCATCACCTTGAGCTCACTGGGGTGAGGTGTGGCCCGGCGCTGTAGGCCCTGTAGCAGGACAGGGATGACAGGGAATGGTCAGGTGGTGGGGGAGGGTGGAGGCACATCACCCATGGTCCCCACCCCCTCATACCCGCTTCTCGGCAGCAGCATCCTCAGCATCTTCATCGCCTGTAGGGGCCTCTAGGAATTGGATGACGCTGACACGGCTCAGGGGGGCGTCACTCCAGCTCTCAGTGGGGCTCCCCTGCTGCCCAGGGTCCTCTGTGGGAGGCCAACGTCAGGGTCCCAGGCCAGTCCCCCAACCTTGCCTGAGGCCACACCCATTTCCTGATCAAAGGCCTGTCACCAGCAACCTACCGAGGCTAGGGAGGGGCTGCTGGGGCAGCAGATAGCAAGTGAGCACCTTCTCGCCTGTCAGGGCATCATCCTCAGTCTGAAATCGGAGCATGGGTTGCGCCTGGTTCTCTGCCAGCCACAGGGCCTTGAGGTTGAGGTGGGTGAGTGCGAACGGCAGACTCTGTAGCCTGGGGGCCAGGTGAGCAAAGTCAGTGGACGTTGGGGACACAGCCAGGTCCACAGGGCCAGGCGGGCACTCACCGGTTCCCAGCTACGTCCAGCACGTGCAGTTCGGCTGTGTGGGCGAGCTCAGGTGGCAGGATGGCCAGGCGGTTGTCCCTCAAGGAGAGAACACTGAGTGCCGCACAGCCCCCAATCTCAGGTGGCAGCACCTCGAGGTGGTTCCGGTCCACATTGAGGTTGGTCAGCTTTGTCAGCTTTCCCAAGGAGTGGGGTAAGGCCTAGCCAGGAGGAGGAAGTCAGAGGTTAGCAAAAGCCTGTTGTGGGAGGAGGAAGATGAGAGCCCTTGGAGGCAGATAAAGGGGGACAGAGACCGTGGGCCAACTCCAGCCAGGGTCTTCACAGCCCTTGGAGACCTAGACTGGGGGTAGACTCCAACCCTGCTTTGTCCCCTCTTGCTCCACCTCTGCCCACTCCCGTCAGACTTCAGCCCCACAACCAAAAATCCCTGTGAAAACATATAAGGATGGAGACCCTGTCTTCCCTAGCCCTCTCCCATGGGTGCCTCTTGCACTGACCTGTTGAGGTTACGTCCTGAGAGCCTGACACTCCAGGTGGCCTCTGCCCCTTCTTCTCTAAGGCTCCTGAGGCCCCAGGCCCAGTTTGCCTGCTCTGTGACAGCTCCTTACGAGGACCCAAGAGCTCAGGCTCCCCTTCCTACTTCCCTTACATGGGAGCCTACCAGGAAGATACCCCTTAAGCACCCTGCCTCAGGTGGTTCTTGTTTCCTCAGCCTGAGGATGGCATCACCACCATGCCTCACCCAGTCCCGACCCCAAGGCTTCAGTTTGTCCTGCTTTTTTGCAGAACAGATGAGCAGATGGCTTTGACGAGAAGCCTCATTTTCTGTCCCCCAACACACTCTCTCTGCATGCAAAGGCATTCTTGTCCCTTTCCCTCCAATCCTTCCCCAGTGCCACACTTGCCAAAAAAATTAATACTCGAGTTCTTTATACCAAACAACTCTGGTCTCAAAGCCCCACCCTACCTTGTCTCTTCCTTTGACCTGAGGGGTGCCCTTCCTGAGCAGCTCCTATGAGCCAGGCCACCACCAGCACCTACCTGCAGGTATATCCCCACAGCTGACAGATGCTACAGCTATATGCTGACACCCTCTACCCTTGTTCTGCACATCCTGATGTATTCCATCCACCCTGCCTCCCAAGCTTCTCTGAAACTAGTCCCCTACCAGGGTCGAGGCCCCCGGAGCTAGACCTACTGTCAGCAGGTTCTCTGTGAGGATCAGTTCAGAAAGGTTTTCACAGTCTCCGATGGATTCAGTCACCTCACACAGCCGGTTTTGGTCTACCTTCAGAATAGACAGCTGCTTCAGCTGACCTGGCATCAGGAAGACACAGTGACAGGGCTAAGTGAAACCAAGGGCTGCCCCCTAGGTGTCCAACACCCCCATTCAGCAAGACAGACCCTTGGAGCAGCCATAGCTGGCCCTTATGACCCTCCTACTTTTGCCCCTGCAAACCTGACTGGGCCATACCTACCCAACCTTCAAGAAAATATTACAAGGCTGCCCCACAGCCCCACCCTTCCATCCTCACAAGCTCCACCACCACAAGTTGCCTCAGCCCTCTGGCCAACTGGGGGCCCCACTCACACCTCGATCTGACCTCCCCCTCCTCAAGGACATCTCCCAGACAAAAACTGAGCAGTCTAGCACCTCAGAGCAACACCATGCACAGCATCCCATGGTTCTCCTGGCATCAGGATTTGTAAGTTCCCCACCCCACACCCATCCAGGCATACTGACCAATGCCATCAGGCAGTCGCCGCAGCAGATTCTGGGAGAGTAGCAGGTCAGTAAGCAGCACTAGTCCGCCAAGTTCCACAGGCAGCTCTTCCAGGCGGTTCTCTGACACGTCCAGACACACCAGGCGCCGAAGGTTCCCGAGCTCCTGAGGATGGGCAGAGGGTCAGAAAGTAGATGGGTCCAAAGCAGGAGGCCAGCCCTACCCACACTCACAGGTGGCAGTGCTGACAGCTGGTTACGGTCCAGCCATAGTTCCCGAAGATTGGGCAGTGCCCCCAGGGTGTCGGGCTGCAAGAAATGACAGAGATGGCAGTGACCAACAGAGGCATGCCTGGTGTGCCATCCCTAGGAAGCCCCACCCCTGCTCCACCTACAGGCCCCGCCCACACACCCACCCCTCCAGTCCCGCCCCCATGCGTACCAGTACTTCTAGATCGTTGCCTCCCAGATCCAGCTGTTCCAGCTTGACCAGAAAAGACAAGGACCTGCAAAAGGAACAGTTGTGGCATGGCTTATGAGGCCCAGGCCCCCAGGCCGCAGCTCCACCCTGGCCACTGGGTGGATGCCCAGCACACTCACGCAGGCAGAGACTTAAGCAGGTTCTCCCGGAGCTCCAGGGTCACCAGGTTGGCAAGGCTGAAAGAGAGATCAAGGATGGAGGTGTGAGCAAAGAAAGAACAACAGACAGTGGTGGCAGGGACAGAGCCAATCCAAGCATGCCCCTAATTCCACCCAAGAAAACACTCACTTGCCCACATCCCCGGGCAGCGCCTGCAGGGACACATCATTGAGGGCCAAGTGAGCCAAGCTGCGCAGCTGAGTGAAGCCTTCAGGAAGTCTGGGCAGGAAGGCAGAGAACCTCAGAGACCCAGATCAGGACTGCGAGACATCCCACAGCCCCCTCTTTCAGCCTCCACCACAGGCTTCTACGCACCTGGACAAGGGATTTCCACTGAAGTCTGCAATTTCCAGAGCCTTGCAGAACTTGATGCTCTCAGGTATCTCAGGGATGTCTGTCATAAAAGATCACCATGGGGAGATGCCGTGGCCTCCAGGATATTGACAGTCCCTCTGGCCATATCCCAGGCTCCACCCTAGCTCCCCACCCAAGCTCCCCACCGTTCCGGGACACGTCCAGCTCCACCAGTTGCATGAAGTTGGCCACCTCAGGAGGCAACCGCTGGATCTCGTTGTCACTCAGGCCCAGCTTGCGCAAGTTTAGCAGCCGGAAGAAGGGCTGTGAGTAAAGAGTGTAGGAAGGTGGTACGGATTCTATAACAGATGTTCCTCCAAAGCAGAGAAGAGCTCCTAAATACACACAGTCACAGGTCACGGGTCCCTAGGTCTCTGCTGGTTCCAGGTCACACAGGTTCCTGGGGTCCAGCCATGATATCCCCGTTTGTAACAAGGAGAAAAGAAAGAAAACACACTGCCCATGCACTTGCTACACCCAACTCCCTACTTGACATCTCACCCATGTTCCTCATCACTGTTGTACCTCCTGTATGGCTAATTCCTACTCATGACCGGACTAGGCCCCAGTCCCTTACCTTGGGTGTTACCTCCAAAACCCACCGCCATCCCCAAATCACTTCTTCTACCCAGCAGAAAAGCTTTCTAGGGACCCATATTGGCTTCTGCAACTATACCCCAGCAATGAGACCCTGAGCCTGTGGTAAGTGCTCAGCAAACTGTCATCAAAAAACCAATAATGAAAATACTAAGGTACTACAGACACACGAGGTGCAACGAGCAGGGGATGCAGGTAATCATGAGGAACAGACCTGTCATTGCCAGGCCCAGAATGGGGCCACACCCTTTGCAGCACACAGCCCCCAGGGCATCACCCACTCAACACCCCATCTCTGAAATGAGAATTTTTTGCAACCTGTTCTTCCTAGCTTCCTCTCCGAAGTAACCTTAGAAGAAAAACCATCCAACCACAGTAAACAACAGTAAAAGCGGGGAGACAGTAGACCTGACAAGGCTGGGCTCCTCAGGAAGGCTCCTCTATCCCCCCACCCAGAAAAAGGAGAGCAGTCCAGGGAGAAAATTAAGCCCCCCACCTCCAGAGAAGCCCAGCAAGCTAGTGTCCATCAGTCATGCCAAGCCCACCTTCCACCCCAATCCCATCCACCTTCCAAATCCCCACGAGTCTCACTTTGAAACTCCTCCTCCAGGTTCAGTAACCACCTCTGTCCCCAGGCAGGCACCTGATGACCGCTGCCACCTGGTGCTAGCCTAGGCAGCAGGAAGGGGAGGGTGGAGCAGGCTGGGGTGGGGCTCTGGCCAGTAGAAACCAGCAGGGCCGGCAGGAGGCTGCGCTGGCTAGCCTAGGTAAACACCACCGACCAGGGAACCGAGGGATGGGCCGTGCCGTCGGGTTGGCAGGTGCGGGCGGCCGCTCACCTTGGGCAGCTCGCGCAGCTGGTTGGCGTCGAGAAGCAGCTCCTCTAGGCTGCGGCTGTAGCGATAGATCTCTTCGGGCACTGCCTGCAGTGAGCAGTGCCGCTTGTCCACCGACTCCACGTGCCGGTTGCAGCGCCACAGCGGGATGCACTTGAGCATGGTGCGGACGGGCGCGGGCTCAGGCGGCGGCGCTCGGCGGGCTCGGGGCCGGGGGGCGGGGCTCGAACCGCATGAGCGCCGGGCAGGGGGAGGGGAAGTGCGGACAGGGGGCGGGCCGTTCGGGCCGGGGCTGGGGGCCGGCGCTGGGCCCGGCCCGCGCTCGGAACGCGCGGAACGCTCGGACTGCGGGCCTGGGCGGGGGGCGCGGCCCTGCCG